GTCCTTCTGCCTGGATACTGATGACGCGGCCTCGGTTCACACTCCTATTAGTGTCCGATTTCCGAAGAAGCCAATCAGCGGCACCGCGGTTCCGGGGGTATTAAGTTTCCGCACCCGCCTCCTGAGACTCACATTTCTCCCCAGACCCCGAGGATGCGGTTCCTGATGTCCCGAACTGTGCTCCTGCTGCTGTCGGGGGCCCTGGCCGTGACCCAGACCTGGGCGGGTGAGTACGGGTTCGGGAGGAAAAGGACTCTGAGGGGCAGGAGCGAAGAAACCGTCCGGCGGGGAAGCGGAACCCCCGAGGAAAGCGACTGTCCACCGCCGGGACCCAGACCTCCACCCGGGCCTCGACCCGGGATCCCCTCCCCCACCCCACCCGCCTCCTGCCCCGACCCGGCCTGCCCTCCCCCGACCCTACCGGACTCCGCCCTGCTCTCCCCAACTCTGGTCCCCCTCGCCCTGCCCTCCCAGCCGCCTCCCCCTGGGACCCGGGCCCCACGCGGGGAGGACGGTCGGGCGGGGTCTCAGCCCCTCCGCGCCCGCAGGCTCCCACTCCCTCAGGTATTTCTACACCGCGATGTCCGGGCGCAGGGAAGCCCGCTTCATCGCCGTGGGCTACGTGGACGACACACAGTTCGTGCGGTTCGACAGCTACGCCCCGAATCCGAGGATGGAGCCGCGGGCGCCGTGGGTGGAGCTGGAGGGGCCGGAGTATTGGGACCGGGAGACGCGGAACGAGAAGAACAACGCACAGACTTTAACAGTGAGCTTGCAGATCACGCGCGGCTACTACAACCAGAGCGATTCCGGTGAGCGCCAGGGCCCGGGTCCACGTCACGACCCCCACCCCACGGACGGGCCGGGGTCGCCCCGATTCTCCGGGTCAAAGCGCTGCCCCGAGGCCTCGAGACCCCCGTCCCACGACCCTGGAAGAGCCCGAGGGAGCTTTTAGGCGGGTTTACTTTCGGTTTCACCTTAATCACTGCTGCTCTGGGGGCGGGGCGGGGACAGGGTCGCACAACATCCAGTGGATGTATGGCTGTGACGTCGGACCTGACGGCCGCCTCCTCCGCGGGTACAGTCAGGAGTCCTATGACGGCAAGGATTACATGGCCCTGAACGAGGACCTGCGCTCCTGGACCGCGGCGGACACCGCGGCGCAGATCACCCGCCGCAAG